ATCACAGCAGTTAACCTTGCTCTGGAATGCAGATTAAAATTTCCTAAAAATAAAATGACTTCTTTTGCAGGCAAGGATGCTGGTTCACTGATTTCTGTATTCTGTATTCCTTAAGAAAAACGTGTGAAAATTACAGCGCATAGACATCACCTGTGGGTCTTGTTAAAATGCAGATTCAATACAAATTAATAGTTTGGATTCATAAAAAGAACACCGTGACCTTTGGTGTGTGTCTAAACTTATCCAAATGCTATTCTACAGCAGTCCTCCTCTGAGCAATGATTCAAAAAAACCCTACATTTACAAGTTACTGGCTGTCTGTATAGAATATTATATTGATGTGAATTAACTATAAAGTAATACAAACTGTATACGTAACTATTATTTTATTTCGTTTTCTTATTGCTACGGATCAGAGATTTTTCAAATGGCTTCCTGATAGCAGAAATATTCACTATACATTACCCCCAGGACCTTAAATTGTCATCCTTTAAAAATGGAACTTCTTTAAAAGTCAAGTTGGATAACTGGGCACAGCTGGAAAAGGTAAATTAGCCATCACTAATTGTTAACAGTGGAGAAGTCTGTGCTTGAAAAGATGTATCCCCGAGGTGCTGGGTTTCTCTGTATGTGTCTGCGGGCAGCGCTAGGTCTGCAGCCTGTTTCCCTGCATTGAAAAGAAGGTTATGAAAGCTTCTGTCATGCGTCACCCATGGAACAGCATACTCATTTCAGATTGGAGTGGGATACAATGGTTGCTTTTCCTGCTGAGTAAAAATGTTTTAATAATTAACACTCTAGACCTCAAAATATTAGTTGAGGATAAAAGGGGGATGACAGTGAATTTACAGTCATTGGAGATTTTTATAGAACTTCTTATGGTGAAAGTATTTTCTCTCTACTATTAAAGTTCCTGGCAAGAAAAAAACTTAAGCTACCTAAAGAACTAATCCACGGAACAATTCACTGTAAAGCCGGAGTGCCTGAGATACTGGTACAAGAGGTGTACACCTTGTTAACACATCGAGAGTGAGTTATTTGGAATTTCCTAGTAATACGGTTTAATATGAAACTTTTATAATACAAATCTTGTTACTAAAATGTGGCTTTCTAAATTTCTTTTCCCCAGAATTCAAAGTATCCAGGATGACCTCGTGAATTTCACAGACTACAGTTACCAGAGGCAGTTGCCCCTGGTTCCCAGATCAACAGCTTCAAAGTCTATTAAAGATAACATTCGGTTATCAGAACTAATGAGCAATCCCAACAAGCTCAGCAATGAACTTAAAGCGGACTTCCTC